AATTTCGTGTAGTATCAATGAGTTGGTCTTGAGCTTTAATGAAATAAATAACAGTCCCTTTATCTTGAAAACTCTGGAGAACTTTTTCATTATGAGCAACAACTTGGTAATTAGTTGGGTACATTTTTAAAGCTCTCTCAATTGAAAATTATGCAGTGATATTTGTTTCCACTTTTCCAAGGAGAACTTCAAGCTTAGACGTCAACTTTCCAACTCTTAAAGAATTAAACACATCTATAAATGTCATGTCTTCTTGTTGACGCATGTTTTGTTGGAGTTCAGTTCAACCAGGCGGAATTGCAGCCACATATGTATGTATAGAGGGTTTCATATGTTCTGGCCGTTGAAATGCTTGATGTGCTTCGACAGGTTGTAACTGCACCAAAGAGTAAGACATTTACAGTATTGGACATAACTGAAGCGTAGGGGGTGCTTTGTTGTGTCTTTTTATGTCTATATTTTTGAAAAATATAACAGGACTAGTTGGACAATTATTATGGTGTATAATTACGTGCAGATATTAATTTTTAAACAAAAAACTTTTCAAAAGTATAAATCTGAGTGAACAAAGCTTAAGCACCAATAATATTTGTTAGAAAAAATAGTACCAAGCTACTGTAAAAGTACGTTATTCGTTGAAGACGATATCAATATTATTACATTTACGTTACAAATATTATTTAGACATTTTGTAATGAGATTTTTGAAGTCGTCACTGTTCAGTTGCGATTTAGAGTTTAAGAATCAAAATTGGCGGAAAATACTTATTCAGCAGACTTTACAAATAAAATAATAAGTGGCTGGCAAAACGGTTTATCTCGACATAAAATTAGTTGTTTAAAAAAATTCGATGAATAGATCAGTGGTGCTCCGATTAATGAATAAATTCAGCAAACTGGCAATATACTTCCTCGGCACAGCGGAGGAAGACGGTGAAAAAATACATAAAGAGCGTCCAGCTAAAAAATCCTTTACTTCAGCAAAAAATTTAAAGGCCAAACTCATATTTCGATAGCTCATCTCGATTGGAGCATTCAGGAATTGAAGACCATTTTATTCTCAGACGAATCGAGATATAATATTAAAGATTCTGATGGCATAAGATGTATAATGGTGGTTGCGGCAGGACAATGATCCTACGCATAACTTAAGGCATTGAAAACTTGGTTATAAAGTTACAGAGTTGATATTTTAGATTTTCTAGCGGAATTTAGATTAAATTAGATTTAGGTCTATTGTGCCCTCTCCTAAATCACATAGACTCACTTAACCCCAGCACATTGATGAAGTCCAACAGCCTACCGGGTGCTAGTGAGGCAATGCGATCCCTATCCGGAAACATGGATCCAAGGGCCATAATCCTACGTCTACAGACTGCTGTGCAGTCGAACAGCATATCCTCCGGGGTTTCAGGCTCCCTGTCTCAGAACTGGCAGTTAGCGCAGGAGGATTAACCCATGTTAAACAGGTGCCTATTCAGCTTGCAATGGCCAGTATACAATGCGACCAGTAGCCTCAGTTTGTTCCTGGGAAGGTTTATTAGAACTTTGAACCTACTCCAGTTGTACCCTCCAATTAGCAACTGGGCATGTTTCATGCCGTGTGTTTATTGCCAATGCTCTTTCCTTCCCACTCCTTCTTCCTTGCCGAGTAGCTCCTTTATGGTATGGGGACCTACCCCAGTAAAGGGTTCGGGTCCCACCATCTTGGTGGAGGCTGCGGAGCGGGTGAGCTCGTCCGCCAGTTCGTTACCGGCGTTACCAAAATAAATATGGAAAACTGTAAAACCAAGGATAAATCTTTAAAGCAGAACAAATCGCTCGGAATGGCATACATGATTTATGGTAAATAATTTAATTTCTTCTATGGCTAAAATATGCGTTTCAGTCACCCAAAATAAACGATTTGCTACTATTTTTTAATTTTCAGATATTATTTTCAAACCAATAAAACTTGTGCTTTAGTTTTGCCCAGTTATTTTAGTATTATACACAGAAACAAAACGTTTTGCCATAACTGGCGGATCCCTCTCAAATCATTTTCTTCAAACGATTCTCTCGATGTAGTAGGCCTCTTTTGCATTATTCAGTTTCCTGCTACTAAATATTTGAGCGATACTGTGAGAAGGCGATCACAAGTTTAAGCAACTGGTTTGGTGACCTACTTAAACTTGTGTGATCGTGACATTATAGCTCAAATATTCTAAGTTTTATCATTTAAAAAGGTTACAAACAAACAAGAAAACATACAAATGAAGCTAATAAAAGCGTATTAAAAAAGAGTTTATGTATTAAATCGTTGAATATATAATAAAATAACTAGAATTAAAACAGGATGATAGTACAATAACAACTTTGTGTAGAAGTTCACGCAAGTGAGGACAGTTCTCGGATCGCCATTCACTTGGGAGTGACCAGAAACGATTCTTTTACATATTGCTCAAGCAGCTCACGACTTCCGGTCTTTGATCAAGTACCCTCTGGGTAGGTAAAAACATCCGTTTGAGGACGAGATAAGGTGAGAAGGCGAAACATCCCCTCCACAGGGTTGCGCGCAAAGTTTGACACCCGCCACGTAAACAAAAACTCCTCCAATGAAAAGGAAAAGAACTGATAAGGAGCATGCGTTAAGATCGCGAAGGCCCACTACGAGCCGTTCGATACCAAATGAGGTTTCAGACAATGCGACTCGCATTCGTGTGCCTTCCTCAACACACTTCTGGAGAAAATAAGTCGAGCTGCAGAACTAAACCAAGAAGGTACAATCTTCTATAAGAGTGTACAGCTGCTAGCGCATGCTGATGGTATTGATATCATTGGCCTTAACAACCACCCTGCTAGTTCTGCTTTCTCCAGAAGAGATAAGGCAGCGAAGCAAATAGGTCTGGTGGTAAAAGAGGGAAGACGTAATATCTACGACAATTTCGTCTATCTTGGAACAGGTGCTACTTCCGACTAAGTAGGTAATTGAGAAGTAAAGTCCTCTCGACGCCAAAACTATATAAGTCACTTATTATTTCCGTTCTGCTATATGGTGCGAAGGCATTGACGATGATAACATTTGATGAGTCAACGTTGCGAGTTTTCGAGAGAAAGGTTCCACGAAAGATTTATGGTCCTTTGCGCGTTGGCCATGGCGAATATCGCATTCGATGGAACGAGCTCCATGAGATATACGACGACATTTACATAATAATACCCAACCATTACCCTCCTCCCGCCCAACCAWCGCGAGGGGCGCAATCCATAGTTCACATAGTAGCGTGTACGCTGGCTAGGTCATGCCGTTCGAATGAACGAAAACACTCCAGCTCTGAAAGTATTCGATGAAGTACCCGCCGGTGGAAGCAGAGGAAGACCTCCACTCCATTAGAAAGACCAGGTGGAGAAGGACGTGGCTTCACTCGGGATCTCCGATTGGCGCAACTTTGCGAAAGGAAGAAACGACTGCCGCGCTGTTGTTAACTTGGCTATAATCGCGTAAGCGGTTTTTACGTCAGTAAAGATAAAGGAAAACAAAGTACCGTTATCTATGGCGTTAATCGTTTAGTACCATCAGAAACTTCGGGTACTGAGTGCAACAAAGCAGAACATATGCTAAATTGATAAATTTTACTCTATTGAAATGAGTTTATAAATAATATGAACCAACAGGTTTTTGAAAATGTGTTACAAAACTTTTTTTAGAAGCAAAAACAGTCGAAAAATTCAATAAACAAAATTTATATTTTTTTTTGTCACAATTTTCGTAAAGGAAAATTGCTGGTTATATGGAATCTAGGGCGAGATTTCAACAAAATTTATATTGTTTTGAGTCACAATTTTCGTATAGAAACTAAGACCWTGATAAATAAAAAAAAAATGTTTCCCTTTTTAAGATCAATATAACCGAAGCTACGACAGCAACAGTCTCAATCAATGCGGCCTCCCTGGAAGAAATTAGTGTACGTTTCAAAAATTAAAAAAAACCAAGTAAGGAAGTGCTAAATTCGGGTATAACTTTTAAACTCTTGTAATTTGCAAGGACTAAAGCCAGGGTAATACATTCAGGTACACAAGGATTGCTGGTTATATGGAATCTAGGGCGAGATTTCAACCGATTTTATTTATTCTAAGCTCAAAAATTCACCTTTTATTAGAAAAACACACTCTCTCAATTTTATTGAGATAACTCACATATTGGCCGATATTTGCRGTATAAATCAAACGTATGTTTGAAAATCTTTACATTAGGTATATATGGTAGCTAAAGAAACTATTGACCCGATTACCGATATTTTCGGTAAAAAGCCAATTATAGACACTGAGGTCCACATATTCGGCACCTGGGCTATACGTGCAAAGTTTTAACCCGTTATAATAATGCATTTTTGATTAGTACACAGAAAAGTAAGAACCTAATGGAATTCAAAAGTGTGTTAAATGTCACGTGCCAAATTTGGTTAAAATTTGCCGGGCGGGTCTTGAAATATGTGATTTCACTTAAAAGTAGGCGGTGCCACGTCCGTCGTATAAATTTATCTCTGGCTCTTTTAAAGCTCTCTCATACCAATTTGGGTGTAAAACTTTATGTCTGTCATTTAGTTATTGATTAATCGCGCTTTTAGTAGTTTTTAACAGTGCTGTTATATGCATTTTCACACCATCGTTATTTCTTATAATCTTTGCAGCTTGCAGACGTGGACGGAAGAACAGACGGATGGATCGACACTCACCAGAATTTCAACTCGTCTCGTCATCTTGATCATTTATATACAACCCTACATCAATCTTGATTAGTTCTAAGTGATACGTACAACCTTAAAGTGAACAAAACTATTATACTCTATAGCAACATGTTTCAAGAGTATACAAATTCACATACTAATTTTTTAAATAAATAATAATTCCTTCCTTAAAAAGTTATGAAAATCAAGCGAAATTTTAGTATTTACAGGTATCCAATGGAATTTCAACCGAATTTTTTTTCTAACGAATTGAGTTAATATTTTCGATACACACCTCATATTCTTCAACACTCTTAATATTTTCAACAACACTAGTAGCCAGTTTTTTCAATTTTTCTCCTTGGCTTTCTTCAATCATCCACTTATTACTTTTTGAAAGTTCAGAAAGTGCATAAAGCAAAGTTTCCAGTCTGCTATTATATCCATCAAAACTCACAGGTAAACATTTTATCAATCTCATAATCGCTGATTTTTCTACCAATTCATCTGAAAAATAAACAAAAAATATCACAACTATATATCTCAATATTGGCGTACATATACATATAAACAAATTATAGTGTTGGAAATCATGTTTATGCAGTTACAACAACAAAAATTGAAGGCAAAACGGCATAAAATTTAACTTACAAATTTTGCAATTCGGTTAGTTTAAAATTATTTATCCTATATTAGGAAAGATATTTCAATCAAGTGTCAAAGGCCTCAACTTTAAGATTTATGGTCGTCATAATCGTGCTCTCAGATCAACAATTGACCGTCTAGTGGAAAAATTTGAATCCCCAGCCCCAGAACGAAATATTCCCTTGTCAGTGAGACAAAGAAATGCCCGTAGTGCCAATAATATTGCTTCCGCTAGGGCATCAATTGAAGAAGACCCAAATCTGTCGCTCACACGTCGTTGTCAAGTGTTGGGCATCTCTGTGACGTAGTTGTGTTGAATTTTGCGCAAATATCTTGGCCTACATCCTTATTGCAAGAACTGAAGCCTCTTGACCACCAAAATCGTCGTATGTTCGTGAATTATGCTGAGCAACTAGATAATTATAAGGATTTTCATCGAAAAAGCATCTTCAGCTTTGTCAACAAGTAAAATAGGTCGGCAGCACACTTATTCCATGAGTCACTATTGCATCCCAAATATTCTTGGCCCGAATTGAATGATATGTGATTCTAACAGGACGGCGCCATAGCATAACGTCACAAAGCGAATGTCACAATCGATTTATTTGAAAACCAAGTTTGGTGAAAATGTTATTTTACGAAATGGTTTGACGCCGTTAACCAGCTAATATCGAACGTGAAATTGCAGCAGTATCAGCCGATTTATGCTTGAAGAACGTCGAAAATTGGGTTAATTGCCTGGACTTCTGCAAGCGTGCATGTGGTGGCAATGCAAATTAGATCGAGTTCCATGCATAATGGCATCGAAAGTACTTTCGCAGGAATTAAAACTTTTGTATCGCTCCTATTTAAAATTCATAATTCAGTTAATACATAAATTTTCCTGGCAGCAATGTAAAGAGTCAATTTTTAAAGCAGTTTCTGGGTGGATTTAGGTCGGATCGTTCTTTGATGTTCTGCACATTTTGTAATTGCTGTGTTACGGCTTCAAAAGTATTTATTGTGAAATAACACTTTGCAACGGCAAAACATAAAGAGAGCTGTATAGAAGTGAAAGCCCTCTGAAGGACAAACTTTTCTGAAGGAATTTATTTGCTACCGCCAAAAAAGATCAGCAATTCAAGTGTTAATTGAGCAAGGACTCCAATGTTGCATTTGCATAATGAGAAGAGTCTTTATACGGCCAAAATACGATTTCATCATTTTTATGGTGTTTATGTATGAAAGCAACCAAAATTTTGTCCAAACATAGATTGATGTACACCTCATGATTTATTACCAGTCCATTTGGTTTAAAGAATGCTTCAGAAATACCCTTAGGAAAACTGTTATGTAGAGCATAACTTTGGACTGAAGTTTTTTTTTTTTTTAATATGTACTCTATCTCGGGAGGCGTTATAGACATATCGTCTGTGTAATAAACATCGTGTCCCGGCATTTGCGGCCCGCCGAGTGAGAAGTAGCTCTTGTCATCCAAAATGAATGATTTTCCACTCAAATTCTTTAACATTCATCGAGTTAAATTACAAACTTGACCTATTTGCTCTTCGGGGTATCCTGGACAACGCATTTTTTCGGCTTTAATGTTAAGTCTATTTAACGTTTTGCAGATATATGGCTATGAGCATTCGAATTTTCGTGCGGCTTCGGTTTGACTTATGCAATCCTTATTGTTGAACGATGTCTTCAGCTTCCGAATGGTTTTGTGGCGTCATAATTGTTGGCTTTTTTCCAGAACCCGGTTGCCTTTCTATCTTTAGAGTACTTAATATTGAGTATATTGTTCTTCTGGAGACGTCTTCCGCCATAAAATTAAATACGTGAACTTTTTTCCGGCGGTTTCATGTTTTTTATAAAAACTTACAACGCGGTCGCGGAGGTGTTGCTACTTAGAAACCATTTTAAGCACTAATTGAATTTGTAAGCTGTTACAAATTAAACGCCAAAAAGATGATGCAATTAGTTCGCTCAATTGCGTAATATGAGCATTTTATGACAAAAAACCAAAACTGTCCATTAAAATTAGTGCAGATTTTTAGTTATAAAATGTTATTTTCAGAGCCTCATTCTGGATTCTGTAGCAAGGTAAACACCTAACCATCCTAACGGGACTAGGTAACCGTTACAACAACATCTAACTGTACGAAAGATAGAAAATAGATCTCAACATTTCAATGAGCTTGAAATTCCCACATTTAAAAGACTTTTGGGTCCTGTATACTCTGAAAGTACAAAGCCGCAAAAAGATTCTCAATTCGTCAGTACCTAATACATGAGACAGACATGTAGTAACAATACCATATGTATGTCACCAAATACTTGCAAAATACCATCTGAGCAATGTAGTATTTTGCTGGTAACAATACTATGATGTTTCATTGTGGTTTTTGTATAAACTCAGCTAAAAAAAACAGGTAACAAACTTTGCTAAAAGCTTTTACACAAAAGCTCTTCGAAATATTCTGTCAAAATGATTTAAAAAAGTAATTAATGAAATGGGRAAAAACATGTTTCACAATTTTTCTTCCGTAAAAGCAGGAAATGCCTCATTTCACGTGAGGATTTTGAAGAATATTTAACCAAATCGCTTTTTGCGATGATAAGATAAAGAATGAGGGTCTATTGTGCCCTCTACTAACTCACAGCGTCTCACT